GCCTGCTCCCTGGCCCCTCGCTGACCCCAGCCTTGCTGCCCCGGGGCTGTGAGAAGGAGCGGGACGGTGATGATCCTAGCCCTGGCCCTGATTGGCTGAAAGGCACCAGCTAGCTGCTCGGTAAGCCAATCAGAATCCAGCAGATCCAGGTCCTTAGACAAGGCACCATTGTCCCCCCCCTGCTCCAGTGCCCCTCCAAGTGGCTGGTGCTAGCTCTCAGCCACCACCAGCCGGAGAAGCACCGGTGCGTGCTGATGACCCATGGCTCCGTCACCAGGGACCCCCCACAGAAATGGGGCTCCTTCCCTATGGGGCAAAAAGCGCACACTGAGTAGCCCAGCTCTGAGACTCCCTCCCACCCTGCCGAGGCAGCATCCCCCGCACTGGCTCGCAGGGCCTGGATCCCCCGCACCGGCTCGCAGGCACTGGCAGTCTATTTAGCTCACCGAAAGAAGTTTAAGGGGTGACTTGATTAGTACCTACATGGGGAACAAATATTGGATAATGGACTCTCCAATCTAGGAGAATTAACAGGGATGGTAATTATTCATTGGAACAATTTCCCCTGGGGCGTGGTGGATTTTCCGTCACTGACCATTTTAAAATCAAGATTGGATATTATTCTAAAAGCTCTGCTCTAGGGATTATTTTGGGGCAGTTCTCTGGCCTGTATGATACAGGAGATGAGACTAGATGATCACAATGGTTCCTTCTGGCCTTGGAATCGATGAATATATGAAACTGGGTCTGCCTGCAGCTGCTGTGAATGTTTAAACTGCAGGCAGCTTCTTCTTGGGTACAGTTTGAGACCTTCCTGAGCAACACAGGAGGTTTCCATATGGAGCAGAATGGAAGAGCCCCCCTCACTTCCAAACAAAGGTGTTATGGAAAATGCTCCCAGAACGGATATCTGCTCTTGTGACCCCATAACTGACCTACACAACTTCCTGGGTAGCTCTTTGGATTGTTCTCCCTCGGGGATGTATCCTATAGGAACTGAATCATAGAATCATAGAATATCAGGGTTGGAAGGGACCCCAGAAGGTCATCTAGTCCAACCCCCTGCTCAAAGCAGGACCAATTCCCAGTTAAATCATCCCAGCCAGGGCTTTGTCAAGCCTCACCTTAAAAACCTCTAAGGAAGGAGATTCTACCACCTCCCTTGGTAACGCATTCCAGTGTTTCACCACCCTCTTAGTGAAAAAGTTTTTCCTAATATCCAATCTAAACCTCCCCCACTGCAACTTGAGACCATTACTCCTCGTTCTGTCATCTGCTACCATTGAGAACAGTCTAGAGCCATCCTCTTTGGAACCCCCTTTCAGGTAGTTGAAAGCAGCTATCAAATCCCCCCTCATTCTTCTCTTCTGCAGGCTAAACAATCCCAGCTCCCTCAGCCTCTCCTCATAACTCATGTGTTCCAGTCCCCTAATCATTTTTGTTGCCCTCGTTGGACTCTTTCCAATTTTTCCACATCCTTCTTGAAGTGTGGGGCCCAAAACTGGACACAGTACTCCAGATGAGGCCTCACCAATGTCGAATAGAGGGGAACGATCACGTCCCTCGATCTGCTCGCTATGCCCCTACTTATACATCCCAAAATGCCATTGGCCTTCTTGGCAACAAGGGCACACTGCTGACTCATATCCAGCTTCTCGTCCACTGTCACCCCTAGGTCCTTTTCCGCAGAACTGCTGCCTAGCCATTCGGTCCCTAGTCTGTAGCTGTGCATTGGGTTCTTCTGTCCTAAGTGCAGGACCCTGCACTTATCCTTATTGAACCTCATCAGATTTCTTTTGGCCCAATCCTCCAATTTGTCTAGGTCTTTCTGTATCCTATCCCTCCCCTCCAGCGTATCTACCACTCCTCCCAGTTTAGTATCATCCGCAAATTTGCTGAGAGTGCAATCCACACCATCCTCCAGATCATTTATGAAGATATTGAACAAAACCGGCCCCAGGACCGACCCTTGGGGTACTCCACTTGATACCGGCTGCCAACTAGATATGAAGCCATTGATCACTACCCGTTGAGCCCGACAATCTAGCCAGCTTTCCTCTCCACCATACTTCCTTAACTTGCTGACAAGAATACTGTGGGAGACCGTGTCAAAAGCTTTGCTAAAGTCAAGAAACAATACATCCACTGCTTTCCCTTCATCCACAGAACCAGTAATCTCATCATAAAAGGCGATTAGATTAGTCAGGCATGACCTTCCCTTGGTGAATCCATGCTGGCTGTTCCTGATCACTTTCCTCTCATGCAAGTGCTTCAGGATTGATTCTTTGAGGACCTGCTCCATGATTTTTCCAGGGACTGAAGTGAGGCTGACTGGCCTGTAGTTCCCAGGATCGTCCTTCTTCCCTTTTTTAAAGATTGGCACTACATTAGCCTTTTTCCAGTCATCCGGGACTTCCCCGGTTCGCCACGAGTTTTCAAAGATAATGGCCAATGGCTCTGCAATCACAGACGCCAGTTCCTTTAGCACTCTCGGATGCAACTCGTCCGGCCCCATGGACTTGTGCACGTCCAGCTTTTCTAAATAGTCCCTAACCACCTCTATCTCCACAGAGGGCTGGCCATCTCTTCCCCATTTTGTGATGCCCAGCGTAGCAGTCTGGGAGCTGACCTTGTTCGTGAAAACAGAGGCAAAAAAAGCATTGAGTACATTAGCTTTTTCCACATCCTCTGTCACTAGTTTGCCTCCCTCATTCAGTAAGGGGCCCACACATTCCTTGGCTTTCTTCTTGTTGCCAACATACCTGAAGAAACCCTTCTTGTTACTCTTGACATCTCTGGCTAGCTGCAGCTCCAGGTGCGATTTGGCCCTCCTGATTTCATTCCTACATGCCCGAGCAATATTTTTATACTCTTCCCTGGTCATATGTCCAACCTTCCACTTCTTGTAAGCTTCTTTTTTATGTTTAAGATCCGCTAAGATTTCACCATTAAGCCAAGCTGGTCGCCTGCCATATTTACTATTCTTTCGACTCATTGGGATGGTTTGTCCCTGTAACCTCAACAGGGATTCCTTGAAATACAGCCAGCTCTCCTGGACTCCTTTCCCCTTCAAGTTAGTCCCCCAGGGGATCCTGGCCATCCGTTCCCTGAGGGAGTCGAAGTCTGCTTTCCTGAAGTCCAGGGTCCGTATCCTGCTGCTTACCTTTCTTCCTTGCGTCAGGATCCTGAACTCAACCAACTCATGGTCACTGCCTCCCAGATTCCCATCCACTTTTGCTTCCCCCACTAATTCTACCCGGTTTGTGAGCAGCAGGTCAAGAAAAGCGCCCCCCCTAGTTGGCTCCTCTAGCACTTGCGCCAGGAAATTGTCCCCTATGCTTTCCAAAAACTTCCTGGATTGTCTATGCACCGCTGTATTGCTCTCCCAGCAGATATCAGGAAAATTAAAGTCACCCATGAGAATCAGGGCATGCGATCTAGTAGCTTCCGTGAGCTGCCGGAAGAAAGCCTCATCTACCTCATCCCCCTGGTCCGGCGGTCTATAGCAGACTCCCACCACTACATCACTCTTGTTGCACACACTTCTAAACTTAATCCAGAGACACTCAGGTTTTTCTGCAGTTTCGTACCGGAGCTCTGAGCAGTCATACTGCTCCCTTACATACAGTGCAACTCCCCCACCTTTTCTGCCCTGCCTGTCCTTCCTGAACAGTTTATAACCATCCATGACAGTACTCCAGTCATGTGAGTTATCCCACCAAGTCTCTGTTATTCCGATCACGTCATAGTTCCTTGACATCACCAGGACCTCCAGTTCTCCCTGCTTGTTTCCAAGGCTTTGTGCATTTGTATATAAGCACTTGAGATAACCTGTTGATCGCCCCTCATTCCCAGTATGAGGCAGGAGCCCTCCCCTCACAGACATTCCTGCCTGTGCTTCCTCCCGGTATCCCGCTTTCCCACTTACCTCAGGGCTTTGGTCTCCTTCCCCCGGTGAACCTAGTTTAAAGCCCTCCTCACTAGGTTAGCCAGCCTGCTCGCGAAGATGCTCTTCCCTCTCTTCGTTAAGTGGAGCCCGTCTCTGCCTAGCACTCCTCCTTCTTGGAACACCATCCCATGGTCGAAGAATCCAAAGCCTTCTCTCCGACACCACCTGCGTAGCCATTCGTTGACTTCCACGATTCGACGCTCCCTACCTAGGCCTTTTCCTTCCACGGGGAGGATGGACGAGAACACCACTTGCGCCTCCAACTCCTTTATCCTTCTTCCTAGAGCCACATAGTCCCCAGTGATCCGCTCAAGGTCATTCTTGGCAGTATCATTGGTGCCCACGTGGAGAAGCAGGAAGGGGTAGCGATCCGAGGGCTTGATGAGTCTCGGCAGTCTCTCCGTCACATCGCGAATCTTAGCCCCCGGCAAGCAGCAGACTTCTCGGTTTTCCCGGTCAGGGCGGCAGATAGATGACTCAGTCCCCCGGAGGAGAGAGTCCCCGACCACCACCACCCGCCTTCTCCTCTTGGGAGTGGTGGTCGTGGAACTCCCAACCTCAGGACATAGCATCTCATGCCTTCCAACCAGCGGAGTCTCCTTCTGCTTTCTCGCCCCAGACATAACATCTGGTCCACTCTCCGCAACGATACCTGTGGAGAGAACATAAAAGCGGTTAGTTACCTGTGTCTGTGTTACTGGAACCCGGACATTCCGCTTACCTCTTCTGGAGGTCACATGTTGCCAAGCTTCTTCACTGGCCTCTTGGCTCCTCTGTGCAACCTGCTCTATATCTGTAGAGCTTTGTGCCCCTAGAAGCCTATCCTGAGTTTTGTCCAGAAAATCCTCAGTTTCCCGTATGCAACGCAGGGTTGTTAGAATAGAAATTGAATAGAAATCCCAACAGAAGCAAGAGGGCCTTTTCCATCTGGAAGCCTGAGCATTTGTTTATGTGACATCAGCTCTGGTGAAAGATCCCCAGCTCTGGAGCCATAAGCCCTCTGTTAATCCCCAGTGCTGTCTGGGCAGGGGCAGGGGAAGCTTCCCCCATAATGCGGGTCAGCTCTGACCAGGAGAGACCACCTGAGACAGGTAAGACTGGAGCTCCGTCTCTGTGGTTGAGATAACCCTTGGCCTTTCTGTTGTGGGGGGCAACACAGAGCCAATTAGCTCCCGCTGCTATTCTAATACTTTGGGAACTAGAATGGGACCCCCAAAATCATTTCACACGGGCCTCCAAGCACGTATTAGGTGGTAAGAACACTGGGCCACCACCCTCCTATTCTGGATTCAGACCAGTGAGGGACATGTAAGCAAAGGTCTCTATATCCACAGCCACCCAGACCCCAAGCTCTCTCTCTTTTGTGACTATTTCTCCTGCTTGCTAACAAGTCCACGTGCATGAACATTCTCCGTATGCTTTTCAGCTCTGGACTGCATGGAGATGCCGGGGTCATTAAAGCAGATTGATGCCAGTAATGGGCAGGTGTTTGGAGTGAACACCGCAGGCAATGTTTACACTCTGTATGGAGACAGCTGGGTCCAGCTGCCGGGCTCCTTGAAACACGTCACGGTTGGTCCGGCTGGAGTCTGGGGTGTGAACAAGAACAACAACATCTACAAGCTGGTGGGAGGAAGCTGGCAAAAGGTCACAGGTAACGTATGAGCTTTGCTATGTCGTGTGGACGACAAAAAGAGCCTCTGTTAGGATCCTGTGCCCAGTGCCAAACTCCTACCCCAGGCTGTTGACACAACTCCCGCCAGATAGGCCACTCTTCGGATCTGACTACAGCTTGCCTATATAGTTACATTGGTACTGGTTTTGTACCATCAACTCTATAGGGAAGCTGATCTAGTTGAATTGGTGCAACCCCCGAGTGTGGATGCCGTTGCACAGGTAGGAAGGTGCTTATGTCTATAGATTATTTGGGGAAATGTAGTGAAATAAGCTATGCTGATACGAGCACCTTGTTACTGGTCTCGTTGTGTCTTCACTGTGGGGTGGCATTGATTTCATTCTATGTGTTTCCAGACTGATAAAAAGCAGTACAAAAACACGCATAGTCCAGTCCTTAAACTGAAATCAGAATGTTCACACAGGCCTGTCTACACATGATTTGTACACAGTTTGACCATGTTGCCTAGGAGTGTGATTTTTCTACCAAAATAGCTACATCCATATAACTTTCTACACTTGGGGTTATATCAGTATAAAGGTGCCTTTTACCAGCATATCCTCTGGGTATAAGCACCTGCAGACCGGTGCTAGTAGATGAAGGCCCAGGCTATCACACAGGTGTGGCAGTTGGACCACGTTCTCTGTGGAGTCTAGACGTTCTATGCTTCAGAGTGACACACTGATAGGTGACAATCCTGAAATCTTAGGGGCATTGTACTACAGGGGTTTACACTGGCTTCATAAATCAGTTTAAATTCACACCACTGGTTAAAGCAGTGCAACCTTCTTGTGTAGACAAGGCCTAATCAACTTAAGGTAAACCGAAATCAGATCCTCTTAAAGCAAACTAAATGTCCCCACAGCAGTTGAATTAAATTAGGGAAATTTAAACTGGTGCAATAGAGTGTGTACACACGCCCCGACACTCACAAGCCCCCTGTGAGGCGGGAACATTTACTGGCCCCATATTCCGGACACTGAGAAAGTAACATCCATGTTTCCAAACCGGAGTGCACAAATGTTAGCACCTGACTAAGACGTCCTGATTTCCAGCGGTGCTAAGCAGTGATGACTTCCACTGGTGTCAATGGGAGCTCTCAGTGCTCAGTACCTCTTAAAATCAGGCCCTTTTTGCCCTAAGTGACTTTCCAAGGGCCATTAAGCAAGTTGGGAGAGGACTGGCAACCAAACCCAGGAATTCTGATTCTCAGGCCACTGCTCCAAACACTAGACCGCAGTTCTCTGACTGATTTCTCTTTCTCCTCTCACCCCTGGTCTCTAGTTATATTTCTTGCTGAGTTCTCAATAGGTGGTTTACGTCCTTATTTTCTCCATGCTGCTCCAGCCCTGCTCTTTCCTCTGAACATTGTTTTACCCTTGTTTGTTTTTAGGGCTGCTCAAGCAAATTGACGCGGGGGGAGACATGTTCGTCGCTGGTGTCAGCATGAATGGTGGCATCTACTGTCTGTCTCGTCCAGCAGCCGTCTCTGTGAACAATGCCTCCACCTTGCCCTGGGTCAATATTGCAGGAAGTCTGAAGTACTACAGCTGTGGCTTGTGGGGCTGCTGGGGTGTTAACTCAGCTGATGATATCTACTTCCGGTTTGCTGTCACCCCGGACTCTTGTGCAGGATCCAGGTGGCAGAACATTCCCGGCAAGCTGTCCATGATTGAGGTCGGGACCGAAGGCTCTGTCTATGGTGTGAACAGTGCAGGACAAATATATCGCAGGTACCGTAAAGGTGAAGACAGGAGGGAGGATTTCTCCCATGAGTGATCAGGGCCATTCATACCCGTCACTAAGAGCGTAGAGAGAACAGGATGTTGCCTGATGCTGCGGAGCAAGCCACTCTGGTGCCTGATGTTGGCCAATTTCCTAATGAGCTGATTCCAGGGCTCTCCAGCATCCCAATGACCTCACAATGAGGCACCCACTCTTGCCTAATTGAGAGGACTCCAATGCTAACCAGCAGGGAACCAAAAAGGACTGTGAGGCACACTGCAGAGGTTCTGCTATCTTGGGGGCTCTTGGAAGCCTGAGCTCTGCATATTGTAGGTAGCACAGGGAGTCCTGCTCATGCCCCTCACAGTGCCTCTGCGCACCCAGACTGCGCGTGTGCCATCCCCACAGAGTGATGGAGCATCCTCCAGCCCAGGGTTAAGAACATAAGAACGGCCATATTGGGTCAGACCAAAGGTCCATCCAGCCCAGTGTCCTGTCTTTGTACAGTGGCCAATGCCAGGTGCCCCAGAGGGAATGAACAGAACAGGGAATCATCAAATGATCCACCCCCCTGTTACCCCTTCCCAGCTTCTGGGTAACAGAGGATAGGAACACCATTTCTGCTTATTCTGGCTAATAGCCATTGATGGACCTATTCTCCATGAATTTATCTAGTTCTTTTTTTAACCCAGTTATAGTCTTGGCCTTCACAGCATCCTCTGGCAAGGAGTTCCACAGGTTGACTGTGCGTTGTGTGAAGAAATACTTCCTTTTGTTTGTTTTAAATCTAGTGCCTATTCATTTCATTTGGTGACGCCTAGTCTTTGTGTTATAAGGAGAAGTAAATAACACTGAGAATAATAGAATACAGTTGGAAGAGACCTCAGCAGATCATCTAGTCCAAGCCCCTGCTCAAAGCAGGACCAACACCAACTAAATCATCCCAGCCAAGGCTTTGTCAAGCCCGGCCTTAAAAACCTCTAAGGAAGGAGATTCCACCACCTCCCTAGGTAACTCATTCCAGTGCTTCACCACCCTCCTAGTGAAACAGTGTTTCCTAATATCCAACCTAGATCTCCCCCACTGCAACTTGAGACCATTGCTCCTTGTTCTGTCATCTGCCACCACTGAGAACAGTCGAGCTCCATCCTCTTTGGAACCCCGCTCCAGGTAGTTGAAGGCTGCTATCAAATCCCCCCTCACTCTTCTCTTCTCCAGATTAAACAAGCCCAGTTCCCTCAGCCTCTCCTCATAAGTCATGTGCCCCAGCCCCCTAATAATTTTCGTTGCCCTCCACTGGACTCTCTCCAATTTGTCCACATCCCTTCTGTAGTGGATGGACCAAAACCGAATGCAATACTCCAGGTGTGGCCTCACCAGTGCCAAATAGAGGGGAATAATCACTTCACTCCATTGGTCTTCTTTACAACGAGGGCACACTGCTGACTCATATCCAGCTTCTCGTCCATTGTAATCCCCAGGTCCTTTTCTGAAGAACTGCTGCTTAGCCAGTCGGTCCCCAGACTGTAGTGATGCATGGGATTCTTCCTTCCTAAGTGTAGGACTCTGCGCTTGTCATTGTTGAACCTCATCAGATTTCTTGTGGCCCAATCCTCTAATTTGTCTAGGTCACTCTGGACCCTATCCCTACTGTCCGTCTTATCTACCTCTCCCCCCTCCTTAGTGTCATCTGCGAACTTGCTGAGTGTGCAATTAATCCCATCATCCAGATCATTAATAAAAATGTTGAACAAAACCGGGCCCAGGACTGACCCCTGGGGCACTCCGCTTGATACCAGCTGCCAACTAGACATCTAGCCATTGATCACTACCCATTGAGCCCGACAATCTAGTCAGCTTTCTATCCACTTTATAGTCCATCCATCCAATCCAATACTTTTTTAACTTGCTGGCAAGAATACTGTGTGAAACCGTATCAAAAACTTAGCTAAAGTCAAGATATACCACATCCACTGCTTTCCCCATATCCACAGAGCCAGTTATCTCATCATAGAAGGCAATCAGGATGGTCAGGCATGACTTGCCCTTGGTGAAGCCATGTTGACTGTTCCTGATCACCTTCCTCTCCCCCAAGTGCTTCAAAATGGATTCCTTGAGGACCTGCTCCATGATTTTGCCAGGGGCTGAAATGAGGCTGACCGGTCTGTAGTTCCCTGGGTTCTCTTTCTTCCCTTTTTTAAATATGGGCACTATATTTGCCTTTTTCCAGTCATCCGGGACTTCTCCCGATCGCCATGAATTTTCAAAGATAATGGCCAATTGGTCTGCAATCACATCAGGCAACTCCCTCAGTACCCTTGGATGCATTAGATCTGGACCCATGGACTTGTGCTTGTCCAGCTTTTCTAAATAGTCCTTAACCTGTTCCTTCACCACTGAGGGCTGCTCACCTTCTCCCCATACTGTGTTGCCCAGTTCAGCAGCCTGGGAGCTGACCTTTTCTGTGAAGACCGAGGCAAAAAAAGCATCGAGTACTTCAGCTTTTTCCACGTCATCTGTCATTATGTTGCCTCCCCCATTCAGTAAGGGTCCCTCACTTTCCCTGACTTTATTCTTGTTGCTAACATACCTGTAGAAACCCACTTGTTACCCTTCACATCCCTTGCTAGCTGCAACTCCAGTTGTGCCTTGGCCTTCCTGATTTCACTCCTGCATGCTCTAGCAATATTTTTACACTCCTCTCCAGTCATCTGTCCAAATTTCCACCTCTTGTAAGCTTCCTTTTTGAGTTTAAGCTCACCGAAGATTTCACAGTTAAGCCAAGTGAGTGGATGTTTTCAGAGAAATGACTATCCAATGACTCCAAGATCTCTTTCTTGAGTAGTAAAAGCTAATTTAGACCCCATCATTTTATATGTATAGTTGGGATTATGTTTTCCAATGTGCATTACTTTCCATTTATCAACATTGAATTTCATCTGCCGTTTTGTTGCCCAGTCACCCCGTTTTGTGAGATCCTTTTGTAGCTCTTCGCAGTCTGCCTGGGACTTAACTATCTTGAGACGTTTTGTATCATCTGCAAATTTTGCCACCTCACTGTTTACCCCCTTTCCCAGATCATTTACGAATATGTTGAATAGGACTGGTCCCAGTACAGACCCTCGGGGGACACCATTATTTACCTCTCTCCATTCTGAAAACTGACCATTTATTCCTACCCTTTGTTTCCTATCTTTTAACCAGTTACCAAACCATGAGAGGACCTTCCTTCTTATCCCATGACAGCTTACTTTGCGTAAGAGCCTTTGGTGACGGACCTTGTCAAAGGCTTTCTATATCCACTGGATCCCTGTTGTCCACATGCTTTTTGACCCCCTCAAAGAGTTCTAGTAGATTGGGGAGGCATGATTTCCCTTTACAAAAACCATGCTGACTCTTCCTCAACAAATTACGTTCATCTATGTGTCTGACAATTTTGTTCTTTACTCGGTTTTCAACCAGTTTGCTTGGTACTGAAGTCAGGCGTACCCACCTGTAATTGCCAGGATCACCTCTGGAGCCCTTTTTAAAAATTGGCCTCACATTAGCTATCCTCCCGTCATCTGGTACAGAAACTGATTTAAATGACAGGTTACAAACTGCAGTATTTAGTTCTGCAATTTCACATTTGAGTTCCTTCAGAACTGTTGAGTGAATACCATCTGGTCCTGGTGACTTATTACTGATTAGTTTGCAATTGTTCTACCTGACCAGCAGGGGTTCCTGTGGAGCCAAGCACAGGAACTCAATGTCCCCCTTGCTGGGCTCAGGCAAGTGGAGGAAGACACTCCCAGACTGGAATGGAGTGGGAGCAGGGGAGGGGAGAGAACTGCCATTCCTGGGGGGAGCTCTGGCATTTCCCTCTGCAGCGCTGTGGGATTCCCTTGGTGTTCTCTATACCGCTCTGTCCCTGGCTTTGATTCCATGTCACCTGCCAAGACAGAGGAAAGGCCCTGTGCAGTTTGGAAGCAGGAATGTTTCCCGGTAGAGGATGTTCCCTGCCCCTCTGCCCTCAGCCCACACCGCAGGGAGATGAAGCTTGCAATGCTCAGCTCTGATCCTGCCATCTTAGTAGGGTCTAGCCAGACACTCATGTAGGGGGATGGGTGCTGCAATGCAGGGCTGTGAGTGGACAGCAAGGAGAAACATGGCTGGGGCTACCCTCTGGCTGCAGTGAGAAGCTGCTCTCCTCAGGCTGGGATAGAGGCAGAGTCCTTCTCTTTGCAGACCTGTATTAACACCACTGTAACCTTCCTTTCAGGGATGGAATCACTAAAAGCAACCCCATCGGCACCACCTGGACCCAGGTGGCCAGTTTCCTCTGCAAATGCAAACATGTGTCCTATGACCTGGGCCTGCTGTGGCTTACCAATGACCAGGAGAAGATTATGAAATGCCGGCTCTAAATGAGACTCCCTCCATCTCAGCCTCACAGTGATTAACAGTGTCCATTTAAACTTTCTCTCTCCCCCACAGTGCTTAATTTGTACCAGCCTGGGCTGAGCCCCGGCCCCTCTGGGTTTGCCGTGTCAGTGATGAAAATAACAAATTGCTTCAGCCCCAGCACCTCTTTCATTACAAACTAAGCACTGCTCCACTCCCTTGTCCAGGTTTTCTACATACCATCTCCATCCAGTGGTCTGAAGCTTTTGTTCCAAGGGTAAAATCGAGTCCCACAAAATAGAGCCAAGAAGGTTCGTCATTACCTGCTCCTTCTCTGCCTCTGCTGCCCCCACCCCCAGACGCACATACTTCTACTCCGATAAAATTCAGTGGCTGGAAACTGAACACAAGCAAGGTCCAACTGAAAACAAAGGGCAGTGTTTTCAGCTATGAGGGAAGTAAACCATACGAACAGATCCACAAAGGATGTGCAAAAAGAAAAGGAGTACTAGTGGCACCTTAGAATGCATCTGATGAAGTGAGCCGTAGCTCACAAAAGCTTATGCTCAAATAAATGTGTTAGTCTCTAAGGTGCCGCAAGTCCTCCTTTTCTTTTTGCGAATACAGACTAACACGGCTGCTACTCTGAAACAAAGGATGTGGTAAATTCTCCATCACTTGGGAGTCTTTCAATCAAGACTGGATGTCTTTGTAAATGCTCTGATATACTTTGTATCAACTGCATGCTATTAGGTGTGATGCAAAAGTCACTGCATGACATCTGTGGCCTGTGTTATGTAGGAAATCAGATTAGATGGTCATAATTGCCCCCTTCTGGACTTTATATTTATGACTCTAATGGAGCCCATTGTATTAGCAACACACAAAACTGAGCTGGGCTTAGGAAGAATTTCCAAGAGAACCAGAAAGAAAAAGAAAATTTAAGTAACCCCAACTAGGTAATTTTTCTCTGCCTTTCTGCAAAATTCACCATCACCAACTACCTGTGTTACAAGGTTCTCCCTCAGTTAGCCTGATTTCAGTCTCTCCACTTCAGAAGGTCCTGGCATGATCAGTTCATAATAAGGAACAAGGGCCAAGTTATTACACACATGCTGTCCTTATTTCTGTGCCAGAAGCTCTGCATATCCACCCCTCTCCTCCTGCATTTCCATTGTGATAAATCCCAAATATCTGCATCACCAGATTAAGAAAGAATAGAGGCCTCATGTATCCAACAGGATGGCTGCAGAGCCAGAGCTGCTCTCTCTAGGCTGAGCAGGAAAGGGCTGGTAAAGGTTTGAAGTTTCCGTCTTGCTCACTCTTGTGCCAATAAAGTCTTGCAGCATCTCGGGCGCTCTCCTTGTCATTTTGTGCTCACTGGACTCGACACAACTGAAGTTTGGGGGAGTGCTGTGGTGCTAGGGATTCAGCAGCCCAGAAACCAAGTGTGTTTTGTGGAAAGAGAAACAGTCTGAGCTCTACAACAAACTAGTCCAGTGTGTGCGACATCATTATCTTCACTGGGCTGCCGACCCTCCCACTCAGCTAGTCTTCCCCCTGCTCCCCCACAATGCTCACTCGAGCAGTCTATGTTGCCCTGCTAATCTGTTCCTCTCCCTTCCCTCACCTCTGAAACACGCTGCCAGGGAGAAGAGACAGGGGTGATCAAGGGTGAGCTAGTCATTCTGCCTCACACTGGTCCCCCTCTCCCTTGCCATGTGTCCTATGTGCAGTCAGGAATCCTGATGAGTCGCCTGACTGAGCAGGTGGGCGTTCTGCAGGTGGGCAGGGCTCCCACCTAGCCATCACAATCAGAGAGAGACGGGCGGGTGAGAAACAAAATCCACCTCTCTACAGTCTGTGCAGTCCGACCCCAACACTGAGAACACAGCCTCTGGCTGGGCTTTGTAGCCAAACCTCGCCCCTTTAGCCTGAATCAGAACAATGAACCATGGCGAACTGATAGGTCTCAATAAGGAGTTGGTCCAATAAAAGGTATTACCTCCCCCACCGTGTCTCCGATATCCTGGGACCGATCCAGCTACAGCAACAGATCATGTTTACCCCGGCCTGTCTACTGTGACAGGCTTTGAGCCAGTTCACATGTACTAGTTTGGGAACAGTATCATTGAGGGACTTTTTAACTTGATACATGTCCTCATTTGCCACTTCTACCACCTCGAAGGGCCCCTCCCAGGGGTTTTGCATTTTGAACCTTTTCACATGGTTGAGTACCATCACCAAGTCTCCCATGTCAAAAGTGCGTTTGCAAGTATTTTTATCATACCACGCCTTTTGTTTGGCTTGGTTGTCTTGAAGGTTGTTTTGGACCACTTCCATCACGTCCTTTAACTCCCTCCTGAACCTTTCAACATACTCAGTTACTGGTTCTTCCCTCACCTCACTGCACCCTTCCCATGTGTTTTTAATGAGATCAAGGGGTCCCCTCACTTTTCTTCCATATAGACGATTAAATGGAGAAAAGCCCATGGACTCTTGGGGTACCTCCCTGTAAGCATACAGCAGGAATGGCAATAATTCATCCCAACTTTGGCCTCTCTTCTTGGCATACATGCCCAGCATGGATTTTAGGGTCCCATTGAACCTTTCCACCAACCCATTGGGCTGGGGGTAATAGGGGGCAGTCTTTACTTCTTTCATGACACACACCTTCCATAGCTCATTAAACAACTGCAACATAACTGCTGAATCTAGTGAGCAGGGCTCTTGCCACTGTCTCAGCTTCTATATTGGACAGAGCAGCCGCCTCAGGGTATCTAGTGGCAAAATCCACCACCACTAAGATATACTTGTTCCCCCACCCAGTGGGGCACGGCATTGGACCCACAACGCCTATTGCCACCCTCAGGAATGTATGACAGGTAAGGGACACAGGGGAGCCCTCTGGGGTCCTACAGGTGTTTTCCTCCCCGATACACCGCCCAAGACCTGCAATAATCTCTGTATTCCTGGCCAGTAGAAATTCCTCCTTAGCCTGTCATAAGTTCTCTGTACCCCCAAGTGACCCACAAGTGACCTGCAAAGGGACCATCATGCGCGACCAGCATTAATTCCCCCTGCTGCTGGCTGATTATAGAGTTCCTGGGACCTCTGTTCCATTCCACAGGAGCCTCCCTATACAGTTTCTCATCCTCTTCAAAAAACTTCTCCCTCCATCCCTTCCTGCAGTTCCCTCTAGGACACACTTCCTTATGCTTTCTAGGGAGGGTCAGTCTTTCGCTTATCTGCAAATTCCTGACAGCTAATACTTGGGATAACGTCCACAGACACTGACAACATTTCTCCTGCCCTGGGGACCTGTGGCTTTCAGTCCGGCAGAGGCCTGACTCCACCTGTCCCACACCTGGAAGCACGCTGCCACCCTGCACTCAGTGCCAATGGAACCCCCACCCACCTCCTCTGGAGTCTAAGGTTCCAGCCCCCTACCAGGCGCTCGTCTCTGAGATCCATGCTACCTAGAGCAGGACCTCTCACTGGTTCAGGTGCACCAGACCTGCAGCTACCAGCTGGAACAGCCCTCTCACTGGCAGGCAACACACTCTCCTCCCCCTCTGGGGACTCTGCACAACAGTTCTTCCTGCTGTGAGTTACCACACCAACAGTCCTGGCCTTGTGGAAAAAACTGTTCCCTACCAACATGTCCACTGGGATGTCCTCTAGCATCCCCACAAGTAAATCACCTTCCAGACCTTCCCACTCCACTCGCTAGAGGCCTTTCCACTCCACCCGCCTCCCCACTCCCACTCCACCTGCTAGAGGCATGGGAAACCTTTCCAGCCCTATCCCCTTAATGTTGGCTGTTTGCCCCGGTAAAATACTAGACTCTGGGACCACACTTGGTCGTACCAGAGAGAACTGGGCCCCAGTATCCCTCCAAGCCAGGCACTCTGTGCTGTTGGGATATGTTAGGGTTCAGTAAAGACCAGGAAGGCTCGATGTGCTGACATGGCATTAGGGGATAAAGGCATAAGCAGGCAGTATTTCTCTGTGTGATAGATAAGTGGCCATATTTTTTCCCTTCCCTGTTGCTTGTAAGAATAGATAAGCCCTGTAGCTGCATGAGAAATGTAGTTGTCTAATGAATACCTTTTGTGTAAAAGAAGTGTTATCTCCCCCTCCCTTCCTTTTCCAGCTACACAAGTGAGCCACGGGTTATGGCCCCTTCCTCCCTCCCCCGAGAACTGCTCATGGCCCCTTCCTCCCTCCCCCAAGAACCGCTGATTGGGGAAATTTGTAGCAACAAATTATTGTAGAGAAATGTATTTTCAAGGTAAAAATGCCTGTATAACATGCGTAATGCTGTGAATAATAGATAGGGGTGGGTATACTAATTGTATGGGTGTATTTATTACTTAATAAGGGGTTTGGGGTCTTGTAATGGATGTAGGTCTTTACATACTAATGCAGATAAAAAGAGTGTGGTGTAACGAATCCAGTGCTTACTCAACAATTGGGCTGAGGAGAACAAGTACCGCAATAAAGAAGCCCCTACTCAAATCCTCCTCTGGGTCAACTTGCTCCTTCTTCTTCTAACATCTGGCATCACACACAGAATCCCAGGGGAGACTCGTGCCTGATCACCACGTCAGGATTGGCCACCCAGCCCGGGGGGGTGGAAGCTGCCAGGGCGGCCAGGTGCTCCCGGGACAAGAAACAATCTGTTTTGTTGCAGGCTCTCTGTGAGGGTCTGTCAGGTTTATGGGAAGAGGTTAGAAGCCTTAAAAGTAAAGTGAAAATTCTGCAGCAAATTGCTGAGGAATGGCGCACAGTAAGTCATCACAGTGTGCTGGCAGTCAGAATGGCTGAAAACTGCATGGATGATTGTCAGAGAACCTGGCCTCCAGGCGTCAAGTAGATGCCTTAAAGCAGAGTTCTTGCTCCCCAGGCCCCATTTACCCATCCTTAGCCCCTTCTGCACGCTCTGCCCCTCCTGCTTATGAAAAGACCCCCCATTCCCCAATAAAACCCATCGACCCCGTCATGACACAAACTGTGGTCAGGCTGGAACAGGAGAATCAGGCTGCAACAAATGAGGCAGCAGAGCTCCTGTGTCGGTCCGGTATTAATGTGCCGCCCCCGGCTCCGAATGCAGAGGAGAGTGCTGATGGTCCCACTATCCGGCAAGAGGTTACATCACAGCCATGTGTGACGAAGTGGGACTGTTCTTAATCATAGAATCATAGAATCATAGAATATAAGGGTTGGAAGGGACCCCAGAAGGTCATCTAGTCCAACCCCCTGCTCAAAGCAGGACCAATTCCCAGTTAAAATGTTTAATGTGTAATGTTTCCTCTGAATAGTGTGGGGGTGCCTCAGTTTCCCCTAGGCAGTTCTTAAGTATCTAGGGGGTGAGGTAAGGGTGTATGATCATTGCAGAGCCCTAGAGGGCAGGTGTGTGCAGGGGTCTGGACACAGAGAATGGCGGACACCCTGTTTCCTGGCAACTGATGGCCTGGGCCCTTCCCCCCTGCAAGGTGAGAGCTAAAGGGTTGGAGAACAAAGGAATCAGGTGACCTCCTGGCCCGGGAAAGGGGAAAGCCCAGAGGAGAAGGGGCTGGAGGGAGTGTCAGTTTGGGGCTGGCTGGGACATGGAGTGAAGTGCAGACGGGGTTGTCTGGCTCACTGCCCCCCAGAATGGACCCAGCTGAGGGGTCCTGTTCTCTGCACCTACAAGCTCTGGTTTAGACCATGTTCCTGTCGTCTAATAAACCTCTGTTTTACTGGCTGGCTGAGAGTCACGTCTGATTGCAGAGTTGGGGTGCAGGACCCTCTGGCTTCCCCAAGACCCCGCCTGGGCGGATTCGCTGTGGGAAGCGCACGGAGGGGCAGAGGATGCTGAATGCTCCGAGGTCAGACCAGGAAGGTGGAAGCTGTGTGAGCTTTGTGTCCTGAAGACAGGCTGCTCACAGAAAGGAGATTTCACCAGAGTCCTGACTGGCTTCATGGGGAGCAGTTCCAGAGCATCACCCAGGGACTCCATGACACCTTGTCAGAAGGGGACAGAGAAAGCTTGTACAGGGAGTTGCCCCCCATTCCCCACCCTGAGACTGGAATTTGTTCTTGCAATGGTTGGAGCGGGTAGAAAGCCGGCTAAACTAGTATACCGGGAATGATTTGGCTTTAGCCTGGGAAACACTTTTGGGTCCCTTGGCAGCAGCTATAGGCCTCCAGGACAAGGATTTGCAAACAATTGTCCTGGACACAGCCCAGACTCTCTTTGGAGTATACTCACAAACAGCGGGCTTGGTTAAATTAGCTATTTCCCACATCCAG